CAAGGAGGAGGGAGGAGGGAGGAGGGAGGAGGGAGGAGGAGGGAACAAGGAGGAGGGAGGAGGAAGGCGAGTGGTCAAATTTAGAGGCGAGTGATCGATGTGCTCTCGCAAGTTTCCAAGATCATAACATTGATATTCCTCACCCAGCATACCGGGCCTCTGCTCTCCTCTGCCCTCCTGAAGCAGGTAAGCAGCCTTGTAGCGGCCAGCAGTGCAGCTATGGTGTGCGAACATGGACGGCAACAGCAACAAGCAGCATGCCATGGGTATCTTCCTCAACGGAGCAGTGTGGAACGATAGGATCGGAGGGCTCCGCAGCGAGTCGTAGGGCCCATGGCGGTGGGAGAGTTGGATCGGGAGGTAGCAGGAGAGATCTGGAAGAGGAAGGACAGCTGAGCAGCAGCATGCGTGCTGGTGGTTCATGCAGTGACCGCATCCTCGTCGGTGCCGTCATTACCTGTGTGCTCTTCGCTTCTTTGCTGGAGGACGTTGGGGGCTGGGAGGATGCGAGGAGAGCACAGCATGGCTCCTCCATGATGGCGAAGCTGCGACGGATCGGAGACGCTCGGGAGAGGAGGAGCGAGTGCGACTGGCTGGACGAGAGGATGATGCTGAGGGGGGGGACGAGCGGGATGGAGGAGAGCAGGGAGCAGGAGAGCCAAGGGCGGGAGAGCAGGGGAGGGGGAGCCGAGACAGTAGATGGCGGGACCAAACGAGCAGCAGGTACTGGGAAGTTGCCGGAAAGAAAGAGGACGAAAGGAGAAGACGGCTCGGGGAGGCCGCGAACTGATTGGACGCAAGCAGGGAGGAGCAAGAGAGTGATTCGAATCCCGAGGGAGCTGATGAAGAACATGCGGTTGCTGTTGAAGGACGTCGGGGCCAAGGGGATCGAGGAGGAGGAGGCGGTAGAGAAGTACCAAGATATGTACAGTGAGGACCTAAGGTGAGGAGGAGGAGACTGTGGAGGAGGAGGAGGGGGGGAAGGGGGAAGGCAGGGAGGGGGAGAGCAGAAAGTGGGCTGTGGGAAGGAGAGGTGGCAAAAAGGAGAAGGACAAAGTTGAGTTAGGAGGTAGCAGGGAGCAAGGGAGAGGGAGGAGGGAGGAAGGAGGGAGGGAGGAGGGAGGAGGGAAGGAGGAGCGAAGGAGGAGGGAGGAGAAGGGAACGAAGGAGGAGGGAACGAAGGAGGAAGGAGGAGGAGGAAACAAGGAGGAGGGAACAAGGAGGAGGGAGGAGGAGGGA